GTAGGGTTCACAGTGCCGCCGCCCGGAGCGCGGGCCCGCCCCGCCCGCGCCGCCCCGGGCTCGCCCCGCCGGCCGCAGCGCTGGCGACAAGATGGCGGGTGGCAACAGAAACACAACAGGCGGGCGCTGGCGCGGCCCCGCTACTACGCGGCGGGCGGCGCCAAGACGTGGAGTGGAGCTCTGGGCGCCGCCCGGACGGGACGGAGCGCGCCGGGACCGGGCTCACCGGCACCGGCACCGGCGGAACCGCGCCAAAGCCCGAACCGACCCCGTGCCATCCGCCCCCGCGGGCTCACCGGCACCGGCGGAACCGCGCCAAAGCCCGAACCGGCCCCCGTGCCATCCGCGCCCCGCCGCGGGACGGGCCCGGCCCCGCTGTGCCCCCCGGTGCTGTCCCGTCCCTGCAGAGCCTCCCGCGCTGTCCCGGGTCACCGGCCGCGGGCACGCGTGGCTCGGCGCTCTGGCGTGCCCCTGCAGGGAGGGAAAAGCCGAGCCCTGTCTGTGGGTAAAGGCGAGGCAAAGAGGAGCCCGTTGGAAGGGGTCAGCGCTCCGGTGCCCGGTGCCCGCCTCTGGCTGCCCGCGGTTACCGGGAGCCGCGCTGCCCTGTGCACGGCCCCCGTGTCAGGAGCCTGAGAAGCGAAACTGAGCTTCAGTTATCCACAAGGAAATGTTCCACTCTAATTTCGATTTTGTCTGCCTCTGACTGACTGACTGCTGGTTTTTGGCTGGGAAGCGATACTGAAGTAAAGGGAAAATAAACTGGGTAGGAAAACCAGCGCTTCTCACTGAAGGAATGGGATTTTTTTAAAAATAGATTTTCATGTGAGAATTTTCATTCTACCTACAAACATGAAGGAGTTTACAAGCCGAACACTGCCCTGAGGAATGGCCAGTGAAGGATCCTTGCGGGATGGGCTGTTCTGGGCTGTGGAGAGGGGCTGACTTGGGGGGCCGGTGTTTGCCCGGGCTGGGCGGTCAGGCCGTGCCTCGCCCTTGCTCAGCCCGTGCTGCTGGCCTCATGCGCTGCACGTTCCTCTGATCCTCCTCGGCACATGCAGCAGCATTTCCTCCCGGCTCTGCCGTGAACTCATCCCCGCGTTATCAGGATTCCTGACAGCAGCAGTGAGGCTGGTGTCATCACACACGAGCAGGAGAGGCAGATAAAACACAGATGTCGGTGAAGCCTGGCCAGAAGAACTCACCTGGGGTGCCTTTGGGCAGGTGTGGCTCACGGAGGGACAAGCTCATTCCTCACCGGACTTGTCAGCTGCTTTCCAATCATCTTGCAAAGGGCCCCGCCGGCTCCTCCCAGCTCCCGCAATGAATGGAGGAGTTTCACGGCAGGAATGCCTGCAGCCAGGCAGCCCAGCGCCCCGGGGCCGTGCGCTGAGCTCAGCTGTGACAGCAGCGCCGGAGGGCACACGGTGCCGGGGAGCAGCAGGGCTGCCTCCGCTGACCCTCCCGGCTCCTTCCCTTTGGAGCCCGGACGTGTCCAGGGCTGTTCCATGTGCTGTGCGTGACTGTGTTTGTCAGATTCAACAGCAGGGTTATCTGATGGCAGCAGAGGAGCCGAGGACAGCCCAGCCCCTGGCAAAGGCAGCTGGAGAGCAGCAGAGAGCCGGGCACCCACAGCTTGGGCTGGCTGTGCCGTGCTGTGCCTGCTGCAGGGCTGTCACTACAGGGTTAGATGCTCGTCTGGCACCCCAGAAAGCTGGACATCCTGACAACAAGGTGACTTCTGCCAGGGGGGAGCACACAGCAGCCCAAGCACTTTGCAGTCCGAGCTGCTGGTGTGGCTGCAGTGCTGCAGACCGGATCTGTGTGTGCACGTGCAAAGTGCAGTGGTCTCCAACCAGCTCTCTCTGTAATCCTCCCAGCCATTTGTAGGATTTACAGTGGGATTTGTAGGGTTCACAGTGCCCTTCTAGACGGACTGGGTTTGAAGAAGGAAGTGCTGTTCTGCCATCAGACCTGCTGTACAAACTGCACCTCCTAGCCCAGCCCAGAGCCCCCAGCCCTGACCCTGCACGGGTTTAGTGGGGAAGACAAAAATCCCAAACAAGACAACAAAAATGAGTCATTAGAGGAGGTTATGGAGCGTACAAGAGGCAGTGCTCTGACTGACTGAGGGTGCTTGAGTGAACACAGCTTTTCAAAGAAACGTTTTCAGGTGCCATACAATAGTTTGGTCCTGTGCTGGGTTAATGCTTTAGCAGGAGGCAAAACATTCCTTCTTCTGCCTGCTCACATCTTTTGCAACACTAATCTCCAAGGAGAGCTGTTTGTTTTGAAACCTTGAGCTCTGTGGGCTCTTGACTGCTAAGCTGGCTCCTGGCTTTGGCAGCGCACAGTAGAAATCAGCGTCATTAAACATTCATATCTGAGTGATGTTTCCTGATTAAATTTACTTATTGCAAGTTTTTGGACCTGGCTGACAGCACACATCTAGAATCCATCAACTGTATATATTCATCTACCTCTGGAAGGCTTTATGGAAGGGTTTTCACTGAATCATTTGACACTCTTACAGGGGACAGGGGTAAATCAAAGCACCTACATTATCTGGGTTGACTTTGTGAGCACTTTAGGGACAGTGTTTAAAACTTCGTATGTGTGTTAGAAGCACCACACGGTCCAATTTCTACTCCATTATGCTCCACACTTGGGAGGAGCAGGCAGTGCCTCCACAGCCCTGCCAGACACAGACCTCAGGGGCTCAGGGCAGAGAGGCTTGGTCTGAAGTCAGGGCTGTCCTTCCTGCCAGGCTGCCCAGCCTCAGGGACTCCTCTCAGGGTTGTGCTGCTCCTCCTCACCTGGGCTGCTCCTGACAACCACCCATGGCAGGAATCTTCCCAGGAACAGAAGGCTCCTGTGGCTCCTGAGCAGGTGGAGTGCCACATCCAGCCCTGCACTAGGGGGACACGGCTCTCTCCAGTTCCCATCTGTGGTTTTAAAACTTTCAGTTGAATCCTTTGAAGTTTTTTTGATCTTCTCTAAATATTAGATGTAACTTACGAGAATTCAGACCTTTGGTCTCCCTATAAGCATATATAGTTCCCAAGGTGAGCCTTTTTATCTGTTTTGAGGGAATGCCCAGGGCATTTTATCTTTTTATCTGTGTATTATTTCCTGTTTAGTCAGTCCTTTAGATCGCAGTGGATGATACTCAGATGGCACAGATATTGATCTCTGCTATGTTGTGGCTGTAGTTGAGCCTGAAGGAAATCACTCTGAAGCATTCTGGGTGGTGAATTTGGATAATACCTTAATCATGAAGCTTGGCTGTTGTAAATACCTTTCTTTGTTTTGAGAGTTATTGATGGCATTATGTGAAGTTTGAACTGGCTTAGATTTACTTAGATAAAATGATGATGATATTCATATATAGACAGTGCAGGAAAAAGCAGCAGTGTTTATGAGGCTCGTCATCTTTCCTTATATCCACCCTTCTCCCCCCACAAAACTGATGACATTTGAAAGGAGGTGACAAATTTCCATTTGAGGATGACACTCTTACAATGGCGCCAGGCTCACCTCATACCCTACAGACATCCTATACTGGGGATGTGATGGATGCTAAAAAACTGCTTCAGCCGTGCAGACCTGGAAGAATAACTGCAATAGTGCTGGAGATCTGACAACCTCCTTCCTGCCCTTCTGCTTGTTTCCTTTCTGGCTGTGCAGCAAACAGCTCCTCTGTGCTCAGACCCTCCTCAGGGCTTCTGCCTCCCGTGACCGGCAGTGAGTTTGGCTTTCTGGCAGTATTCATCTCTGTGACTTTTTCCCCAGCTCAGAAATTACTCTCATTAATTTCCTGCCTTTTCTGAGGTCCCACAACCCCTGAGAGCCAGGGCATCACCCCCAGTGCTGGTGGCTGTGCAGGGACTGAGCTCTGTGTTTGCACCCTGGGTTGAAAATTCTCAGCATCCATCTGCTGCAGCTCCACCACTCAGCTTCCAGCACATGGGAATGCTGCTCTTCCCTCACTCTGAATAAGCAACTTTTCAGTTCAGGCATCTGAATAATCTGTCTGGAGTCACTGGATATGTGGCTGCCTAAAGTTTTCTCTCCCGCTTAAATACTTTGTTGCTCAGGGCCTAAATTATGACTGAACATAAATGATTAAATGAGTGTTAATTCTCCCTTTTCAGGCTTCACACCAAATAAGAAATCACCCCCAACTGTGCTCACATGAAAGCAGGAGTTTATCTCAATATTTTAATTTTGAAATTCAAGCACCAAACACAGAAAAACCCACAAGGGTGAAAATAATTAGCGCTGTTTCTTACTGAACTATTCTGACTTTCTCTGTAATCCTTTTATTTAGGGTTTTAATTATGAATAAATTCTTATTGTAAATATTTAATCATGGAGAGTGGTTGAGCAGGACATGTGTGATGAACAGGTCTCACACAGATCTGCTGACTGAAACTCAGCCTTTCCTCCCACAGCAGCACCTGACATCCACCCTGGGCAGGGCTGACACGGCATTCACGGGGTCTCAGACACTGCCCAGGTTCCTGCTGGTTTTACCCAGCAATCCCTGCACTGGCCCGGGAGCTTCAGCATGACATAAGGACAGTTTACATTATGCCATAATATGTAATTGATAATATTTCTATATAACAGCACATGCTGCTACAGGTGAGCTCAGGGGAAGAGCCAAGCCCTCGCTGGGCTCCCGGGGCTCACAGCTGGGGCTGGCTTTTCCTGGTGCTCTGCTGCATGCTGTAGTCCTCACTTGTGCAATCTGAGCAGGCCAGGTTTGGGCTCCACATGGGGCTGGTGTGGAAGCACGGGGCACTGCCAGATGTGCCTCTCTCAGCAGGCATGAACCTGACCTTGTGTGTTTGCAACAGCACGGGGAAACTGCAGCAGGCATGGGCTGCACTCAGCTGCAAACTGCTGCTGGGGAACAGGGGGAGGGAAAGGCCCATCCAAAGTCCATAGGCTGCGTGCTGAGGTCTGCCAGGGCTGGAGCAGAGGCTGAGTCACAAACACTGAGTGCACACACACACACAGACACAGACACACAGACACACAGACACACACACTGCTGCAAATATGGCCTGTGGCTAAAATACCTGCTTGAAAGGATAGAATTTAATCTACACAATACACAGAGAAACAATTCCTCTCCCCGGAGAGCTGGAATGGGCTCTGCGTCCCTTGGAGTCACTTTTGAGTGCATTTAAAGCCCTGCCAGGTGGTGCACTCTGGAGACGACAGGTAGCGAGCGATTTTGACCTGACCACGTTCTTCTGCGTGAATGAACGGCCGCGACAGCGCTGGGAGCCCTGAGAGCCCCGGGACAGCGCTGGCAGCCCCGGGACAGCGCTGGCAGCCCCGGGTAGCGCCGGGAGCCCCGGGTAGCGCTGACAGCCCCCGTTCCCGTTCCGCTCTCCGGCTCCGGCTCCGAGCCCGGGGCCGCCTGGCACTCCCGGCAGCCGCCGGCAGAGGGAGCCCCGCGCAGCCGCATCCCGGCAGCGATCCCGCAGCGATCCCGCAGCGATCCCGCACCAGCCCCGGCAGCGATCCCGCAGAGATCCCGCACCAGCCCCGCACCAGCCCCGGCAGCGATCCCGCAGCGATCCCGCAGCGATCCCGCAGCGATCCCGCAGCGATCCCGCAGCGATCCCGCAGCGATCCCGCAGCGATCCCGCAGCCCCCCCGGCAGCGATCCCGCAGAGATCCCGCACCAGCCCCGGCAGCGATCCCGCAGAGATCCCGCAGCGATCCCGCAGCGATCCCGCACCATCTCCCAGGTGCGGCCGGCCGGAGCCGCTGTGCCGGGGGCGGCTGTGCCGGGGCTGCAGCAGCGGCGCTCGGCAGCCCCAGCCGCTCTCCAGGGGGGCTGCGACCCCCGAGTGCGACCCCCGAGGGACGCAGGAGCTGGGATACAGAAAATAGCAGGGAATATATTTGCTGCTCCCTGCAGGTTCATTTAAATTGAGGACTCAGCAAAAGAACACTTAAGAGACGTTTCTTGCCTTTGATGTTTGACCAAAGCTGACCCAGTGCAAGGGAAAAATGGACACGTTCTGCTCTATTTGCTGCAGTCAGTAAAGATGCAGAATATTAAAAATGAAGTTGTTAGAAAAATTACAAACTTATCAGTGTCTGAACATGGCTTAAACCCACACAGGAGTGTATTAAGCTCTTCAGAGACAGTCTCTGCACAAGGACAGTGCAAACACCAGCTTAATTCTGTGCCAACATCCACATTTAGTTTTAAATGTATTCTACAATATACGTGTGAAAAATAGAAGTGCTTGAATGGCACAAGCCAATTCAATTTGATAAAAGGTTTGAAAAAGGATTTTATTTAGATATATGATAAACAGCTTCATGGTTCATAAAATGACAATTTTCCTTTTGCTGTTTCTGTGTACTCATGCTTGTATCAAACAATTGGATATCGTAATACATGGCCAAGTTAAAATGGAATGATAGCAAAAGCACGTTTTAAGGCACAGTAGCTCTAAAAATCATGCTTTGTGCTTGCAGTGGGATAACACTCCTGGACACTTTAAAATAAAACCTCAGTAACAAAGTTATGTTAGAAATGACCTGCCTTTTTAAAAGCAGACACTAAAATGTAAGAGAGTTGATAGTTTGGCTGTATCCTACCACAGCTATCTGTGCCTGCTCTGGGAAGGCCAGGGCTGTCACAGCCACAGTCTGGTTTGGGAGGCAATGTGCACATAAATTATTCAGCACTCTCAAATCTAAAAATCAATGTGGTATGCTGTATAATCCAGCTTAATGTAACAGCCAGAAAACCCATTTATAGCAATTTTAGAATAGGTTTTCCCACAAAACCTCAAGGCTGCAGTAGCAGCAGGGAAGAAGAGGGAGGCTGTGCCCCTGCATGCTATGCACAGGTGGCACATGCCACTCTGCAGGTGACAGCAGAGAGCTGCCTGCACCCTGACCTCCCCTGGCAGGGCAGTCAACAAGGAGCTCCATGGCAAAAGCGTTATCTTTTACACTGTTCTTACTCCCTGGAGTGGCAGTACACTGCAGCTGGAGCCCTCACACACCTTGCAGTGGTTCAGGGGCCCGGGGGCTGCACCTCCACGACCAATGTATTTTACAGTTGTGCACAAACAAACACCAACAGTAAATTCATTTACATTCCCTCCAGCACCACGCACTCTATCAGGCCTTCAATAATTAATACTCTAGCTTATGATGTACCTTTCACCCCAGGATCTCAAAGCACTCTGCA